CCCCCCCACCCACCCCCACCCCCACACCCCCCCCCACACCCACACCCACCCCCACCCCCACACCCACACCCACACCCCCACCCACCCACACCCACACCCACACCCACACCCACACCCACCCACACCCACACCCACACCCACACCCACACCCACACACCACCCACACACCACCCACACCCTGCAAGAGACTGTATAAGCTTGAGATATTTAGTTGGCGAATAATCAGTATCAATCTTTTCTCTGTACTGTTACAAAAAATGTTTCTATCCGAAAAGAACAAGATTGGCACTTCTTCCTTTAGAACTTTTTCGGATTTTTCATCTTCTAAATGTATTTTTAAAGATTTAATTTACGTGATTCTTTTTAATCTCTAGAATTTTTATTTTTTGGATCGCGGGACACATTCGGCACTATTGATTCGCGAATTCAAATCTAATTTTAGTACTATTGATGAATAAAAGTACAGCAAATCACTGATACAATTGAATAATTTACATTTTTACCAAATGATTGTTTTGTACAATTTGTGTAAAAGTTTGTATAGCTTTAACTACTTGTTTTCTCCTGCTAAATTTAAAAACGCACTTAACGTGTAATCCTTAATATCTGTGATATAATCATTTATATGTGCAAAAATTAGAAACTATGCTATATAGAACATTCAAAAAACGTATTCCAGTCATTTAAGTTTCATGGACGGTTTTGAGATATTCTAGACTAGTCTAAGTTTTGTTGTCAGTAGCGTTCAGTGTCTTTATTTCATTGCGAAGAAACTATGAAAAAGAAGTTGTCTGTAAGCGGCAACTGGACAACATCAATATAAACTTTAACTCATATATGTGTAACAGGAAGCACTGTCCGTAATGGGGTCTTGCCAGTAAGGGGCAGGGAGGAGCGTATGTTAAAAATTACACTCAACATTTTCTTCGAAAATATCACAGTCAAAATATTAAAAAAATTCGTGAAAACCGTAAGTATAAATATTCTTGCGTGAGAATGGTTCTTTGCCCTGTCGTTATTACCATTCTAATCACAATACGAAGATCTTGGTTATTTTTAATTTAACACATTTTTACTACAGAAAATTGAAAGAATCGAGTGGTCCAGATGTCATGAAATAAACACAAAGAATGAAAGAGCGAAGACAAAGAAGTGAGATAGTGGATACATCCAAATCAAAAACAAGTAACATGTAAAATAGAGAAGTGGTTCAGTAAATTTGCGATTATTTTCTGTAGGAGATATTTTTTTCTACGATTTTCGATGGGAACCAAATGCATTAAATAACCTATGAAATATCATCAAAGACCATGTCTCATTTCCACCCTATAAAATGTCTCAATTCTATTTCGGGCGACAGCGCGAAAATTGGTTTATTTGATTCTCCCCTTTTACGCCGGATTTCTAAACAGCAAAAGGATTAACTAATCTGCATCGTTTCTACGATGATTCAAAGAATATAAGTTGACTCTGTCTAAAAAACTTATTCTTGTAGTTTTAATACTTACAAATTCAATTATTTATGGAGTCAAATAGTATTGTGTCTGTATCCAAAGAGGGCATTTTTTCTAATTCTCAATGTGAAATTCTCACTTTTTAACAATCTCGTACATTTATCTTAGTCTGCATACGATCATCGCAACTCACCATCTAGCCAAAACTCTTCGGCCACACACATGCCATTCAAACAGCAATATTCTCCTGGATTGCATTCATTAAATTCCAACTTGTCACAATTCTCTTCATCCAGCCCACCTATACAATTTTGTTCGCCATCGCAAATATCATGCCAATTGAGACATAATAAGCCGTAATCGCAAGATAGAGCCTCGTAGCAAATAATTTGACCATGACGTTGAATTTTCCAACCATAGGATGCACTCGAATTCTCATACTCGTTGAATTGAGCGTGCACAGACGATTCAAAAGAGTCAGTATCATGAGTCACTCGATACTGACAATATTTACCAAACGTGCCACGTTTCGTACAGTTACAGAGAAAGTGGTCGTGATGAGTGAAATTCATGGAGAAAAAATGCGCATATTCATCAGCCATCTCGATACTCGAACTCCATTTCGGTACACTATGAGGTGAAATGTTTTCACGGATCAAATCATCAAAAGACAATTGCTTCCCATCGTTCTGACATATGTCGTGAGTGCTCGGAACGTGTAACTCAGAAATATTAGGTCTCCTGCAATAGGCTATAGTCTCACCTGCCGTCTTCGAGTAATACACACAATCGAAACGTTCGACAGGGTGTTGTATCTGAGTTTCGTAGAGAAGAACATGTCCATGATGAGGAGAAACGATGATGAAAAGAAATAAAATCCATAATACTAGCTTTGTTCTACGATTCTGCATGTCCAAATGAATTGCGGCAGTTTAATTGATTGTTCGACACAGCTCTAATCTATTAGGTTTACTATTTACCATTCAACTTTGTATACACATAAATTACAACTCATTGAAGTGTGAGAGAATGAATTATTAGCAACCATTCCACTCTCATAAATCATTTATATTGCCGTTCTATTGAATAAATGAGCTGCTACACATGTTTGAAATGCAGAAATGGTCGTAAATATGTCTCGCTGTTAATCAATACATTAAAAGTTGAGCCCTTGGAATTTCTACATAGCGATATTTATTGTATTTCAAATAGAAGAAAGAACAATTATTTCCTAGTCATATGGTTCATGCATGAAAACTACACTACGAGATCGTTATAATCTTACACTAGATGAGTAATTGTTGTTTCTAGTTGGATAAATGTCGTTTTATGGTCGAAAAGCTCAGGAGTTCTACTTTTGCCATTCATTTTATAAGGTTAGCATTACTATTAATATTCTCATTGAAAATTTATTGCGAAAGTAAATTGAGAAAAGTGTAAGTTAGAGAGATCAACAAGAAAAGTATAAAATACCCATGAAATTCTTTTTTCCAAATCTTTACAAGCAAGAAGAATTGAAATAGTGCTTAGTTTGTGCAGATGCTCAAAGCTGCTTACTATCGAAATGTCTCTCTAATTCATTTAGCATCCATCGATATATAGTAGTGAACCCCTTAAAAGAGAATGTAAAAGTATTAGTACTCTCATGAGTATTGCTGTTGACTAATGAAACATTGGATTACGTACTCTAAGTCCTGCTCGACTCGAGAAGTTTCATAGAGAAAATTACGATTCGATTCATTTTCGTGTCTCAAACTACGTCGTATTTACTTAAACGGATGAAAGTATTAAAAAAGCTTATTCTCGTATTCATATTGTCATCGTTGTTTGACACATTCATTTTCGATTTCATGATAGATCACAATATTTTCTGGCTCAAAATAAGCAAAGATAAAAACAAACATACGATATCCTGCATCATCAGTCAAGCGAGTCTAGTACGACTCTAAACTGTAAATCATGATTCTATGTAGTCATTCATTTCTTTGCCATCAGGATATCTTCAATAGCATGTCTTGTAATAACAGATTCTATACTCTTTATCGGTGAGTTGTACTGTCAAGATGCCAAAATACATTACGAATTCACACCGATATTGTTCTTTCTTTCTTTATTAATATGCATGATAAAGATTCTCGTATCAGTGTCCATCATTACTAAAACGTCTCCAATGATCTTAATTGATAGATTCTAGTTTCAGATAGATATTCTTTTGCGAAATGACTTGCTGATTTCATACGCACAGAAATTTCATTCGTAGTTTAATTGTTTCTTTTGATTGAGAAAAAAGATGAATTATGTAACTCAAAATGATTTAAATGCACATTTGGAGCGCCAGATTCTGCTCAATATTGATAACTGCTACTACGGCCATCAATAAAGAATAACGAGTGCTTCGGAAAAACCCGATTATTACCTGTTAATGTATCGGTTTTCAGAGAGTTCCATGCGGTTTCAGAGAGAGTCCATGAAGTTATCATCCAAAAACGTGAGGACTGCTTGCCGAACAGGTGTAGGTATGGTTATGGGTGTGTGGGCGCCATTCTCCTCTTTAATCACACCCACACTCTAGCCACACCCACCATTCAATTCATTATGTATGGCAGCATTTAGAGCGTATGTTCTATATGACATGAGGAAGGACAGGACGTTGTTTTCCACCTATATCGATATAGATGGAAAAACAACAGAACGAATGTTGAATTATGTCATCGTATAGTAAGATACATTAGTTTGGATGTTATAAACAGCCTATATATGTACTATATGAAGAACGAAAAAACATTTGAATGGTTATGTTATCGTCACTATATAATAGTGCTAAAAATGTAATTGCATAATATCAGTATTTTCCAACATAAAGTTAGTCTATACAGAATTTTCTTTTGCAGTTTTTCTGCAAAAGTAAATTCTGTCAAAATGGTAGTCTTTCTTTCTGATATTGTCTATTATATTTTCTCTTGCTGCTGTTAAAATAAAAAATATTATTTCATTTGAAATTCGCTCATTCATCTATTTCAATTCGTGCTCTTCTAATGTCTAGTGATCTTATTCTTGTGAGAGTGATCTTCTGCCTTTGGGTTGGGGATTTATATATACATATGTTCTGTCTATAAGAAAAAAGATGCTGTGATCTACAAAAACTGATTTTAAGTATCAGAAGTTTTTAAAAAATGACAACGATTTTTCTATGACAGTGGCTCTGTTCATTGGTTTATATTTCAATAGAAAAAAGAAAAATTGCATTATAGTGTATATATATGTAACAAAACTTGCAAGTATTCCTGATTAACAAAATAATTGAGTAGTTAAATGAATAGATGAAAAATATCGAACGTGAAAAACACTCATCAAAGCATTACTACAAATACTTCGAATGCAACAAACAAAAGAAAAGCAAATCAGAGAAAATGAATAGCGAAATGCAAAAAAACACTATTGAATAAATTCAGCAGATATCTAATTGAAAATATAGATAAAACAAATCATTTTCAGTTCAATAAAAGCTTTATGTCCAAGTAACCAATGGAGCAAAGCCTAAAAGAAAAAGAAATGAAATAACACATAATGGATAGATTGAGTACTCTGATTCATTCAATGACTATTCAAAATCATCATTGAAGGTAAATCTCTTACCTAAGAGAGATATCTTATTAGGCAAATAGTCTTCTTCATCAAGAAAGTAAAGTGGATATTCCACAACAAAACCTTGAATACTTATCAATTCTTGTTGTGCCTTGAAAACAAATATAAAAGAATAATTCGAAAATCCTATAAAATATATATTCGTATATATAATATACTCGTATTGGATCAGTATCTTTCATCGTTGCCATTTTATTATATGCAGGAATTTGAGCAAATCTTCTGATATGATCAGTTGGTATTGTAGCAAAAACTTTTTCGTAAATGAGCGTATTTTGCTTCGCTACATCACGAAAATAAGAATAAAATTCATCTGAAACTGGATCAGTTACATCAACGTTATTTGGATTCTCGAATTGAATACCTAACAACATTCTTAAAAAATAAAACATATTTCTATGAAAATCATTGTAATTTTAATTTTGACACATACTTAAAAATTCTTCTGCGCCAACTAGAGCAAAATTTTCCTACACGAACTGGTTGTCCATTAAATCGACTCTCTTCTTCTTCAAGATCATTGATTACAATACAAAATTCACTATCACGTTCACCAAGTAATGAACGATCATTGATATTGGCACTACCACATATAGCCATACGATCGTCAATGATCATTAATTTTGAATGAACATATATTATTTCAGTTACCTAAATACAACAAAAAAATATCTAAATTGTATTACTGACACAATATTTTACTTACTAAACGACCCATAAGAACATCATGATTACGCATACCAAAAAAATTAATATAATCCCTTGGTGAAATACCTAAAAATTGCAAATAGTCAAATAAGATAGAAATGGACATTACTAGATCGATCATTTCACTTATTCCTACATAGGATTAGTTCGAGTTTTCCTTTCGCGAGAATCTTCAATTATCAGTACAACTAAATTTTTGCTGCAATTATAGACTGTATATATATATCGTATCAGCATTAGATTGTCAATAGTTTTAGGATTTTTATCGAAGCAGTAGAGAGTGGAACAATTAGTTGTATTTGAAACTACAATGGTGGCAACAAGTTCCTTGACACTTTCGATTTCTCATAGTTATGTAAGTTTAATTCCACTTTAGATAGTACCATTGAAAAGAACGTAGAAAGTTGAGTATATCCGATATCTTGTTAAGCTTCAAATAATATACTCTCTGTATTTTGTAGAAACCGGATTTCCTGCAGAGATCTCTAGTATTCATTAAAAATCCGCCAAGAACTAACCAATAATGGTGGGAAACTGTTTTCTACCATTATTGGTCAGTTCTTGGCGGATTTTGAATAAATACTAGAGATTTCTACAGAAAACCCCCTTTCTACAAAATACAGATAACATATTATTTGAAGCTTAACAAGATATCGGTTATACTCAACTTTCTACGCTCTTTCAAATGGTACTCTTTAAAGTGGAATTAAACTTCCATAATTATGAGAAATCGAAAGTGTCACGGAACTTTTCGCCACCACGGTAGAAAAAATACTGATAGATCTCATTGTTCATTCTACTATTCCTATCTATTATTGTTGTGAATAATAATATAAAAAACAAAACATTTCTAATCTGTTCTCTTTTTATATCTTATAGTAAACAAGAACAAGAAGAAAAGCATGGATTTACCTGCTTTTTCTAATCGACTAAACAATGATTTATCACCTTTTGTTATCGAACACATAATATAAAAAAGCACAGCTTTTAAAGCATCGACACTATCAAAACCAGGAAAAAGAGGTAGAACGACATAAACACGAAATTTTTCATGTAGTCTAATATTAAACAAACAAAAATATTTTAAATTTTTGTATAACAAAGAATAATTCGTACGTATGTGCTCGTTGTATACGTCGAAAAAGAACATCAGCTAATTGATTTTGAACTACTCGATTGTTAGCTATAGTAATAAAGAATTGATTCTAAATACAAAATAATAATTAGAAATAATGTTTGATTTTTCAACATTAGTCTACTTCAATATATATAAAATATTTAGCAGCATCAATCATTTGTATATATGCATTTTGAATAGAAGATTCAGTTGTTCTCGTTCTTATTGACCATGGTCCAACAGAACGAACACACTAAATATAAAACCAAATGAAGATTCTCTTAAAGAATATTACTTTAAGATAATAACTTACTTGAGCATTAACATGAAACGGTCTACTTTCAAGAAAATTTCTCCAGTTTTCAATAGTTAAATCTTGTTCATCATCATAAGCTTTGGGTAATAGAAATGGATATGAATCATCTTTTGGTTTTTTTTCATACTTAACAAAATCAACAGTTAAAATTAAAAATTGAAATGTTTTCTTTTTTGTTAACTTACTTTATGAGTATTCCATCGTTGAATGAAATGTCTTGCAACATCACGAGCTGCTTGACCAAATACAACCAGTGCTTCATCATGCCATGGCATACGAGGTACTGATTTTCGATCAATATAATCTATTAACACAATTTACATGAAAATATAGAAAACAAATGTAAAAAAAAAAAAGAAAGACTAATTACCTTTACTGTGGTTTTCAAGTTCTTCGAAATCTTTTTGATATGAATTTGAATAATCTTTTCCAATAAAATATCGATGTTTTCTATCAACTTCAGATGTTGAAGTAATAATTGATTGTTGTTCTTCGAGAGTCTCTTCATCATCCGAAGCTTCATTATTTTTTTTCAAGTTCTAAATAGGTCAACATTTCGAGTCAATTATTGACTTGTTACAAGTCATTGAATAGACTTAAAATGAATCGATTCCAATCAGAATTCAATTCTCTTTCTAAATCTATGCTCTGACTGTTTTAGAAGACTCGCTGGTGCTTAGCTGTGAGAAAATAGTAAGTTTATCATTATTTACATAGAGAAACATACTTCTTCTTCTCAGTTTATATTTTTGTGTGATTGCACATTTCAGAATTCTCGAAAAAGTTGCATTATAGTCAGTACGAACATGTGAAACTACAATGACTGACAGAATCCATTCTCTAAATTAACTCTTATTATTACTATTAGAGCTTTACCAGACAATGTAGTATGACATATTCTTTCTAATAAAATACCTAATAAAACTTATAGATAATAAGGGCCTATTTATGAAACACAATCTAAAAGAAATGCTGAAGGATACAGAGTAGAAATTTGAACATCCCCTATAGACCGAATGTAAGAAGTTAAAGTAAGGAATGACAAAGAAACGTGCCTCAAAATATATCAAATAAAGTCATTATCATGTGATTAGAAACAATAGCTATATCGTGTTTCACATTTTAATCTCATAGGGAATGTTTCAACAGCTTTTTGAATATTTCTAGAATATATCCTGATATAATGATGAGAATTTTAACATAGCCTCTTCATTATACCCCTGCATATCTCCCAAAATTTCATGCAATTTGAATGCATTCGGCCAAGCTTACAAACAGTATGAAACACTCATTCTAGTTAATTATTTCAAATTCTCTTCAGTGACATATAAGTAACTGAAAATTGATTAGACATGTGAAATAAAGACTTTTTACACACAGTTGATCAATTTTATCATTTACTTGAATTATTTGTCGCCATCTCGCAGCACATTGTTCTCGTCGTCCGTGTCGTCGAATAACTTGTTTGTCGTGTTTGCATACACTTTCGTCAGATGTTACTGATTCATCTTCAATATTCAAGGAAAAATTCTAATTGTTTTCTCCTAAACTAATTCAAGCTACAGCACAAAAATAATAAAAGCTTTGAAACCAAAAACACAGCAATATTATGTTTATTTTAGTGAATCAGAATTAAGCGTTAACCATATAAACTTTAAAATATTATCAATGGAAGACCTTCTATCATTTTTGTTGTTGTTGATTAGTAGTGTATGTATTAAAGATATAGAATATTCATTCCTACCACTGTTTGATTCACTATCACTTTTATTTTCATCTGCTTCTATTTAAATGATCAAAATATACAAAATAATAATCAAAGATATTAGAACAAACAACATTTAGAAAGAACTCTATCGATTTTGTGCATAGCATTATACACTTATGAGTGTATATATGTATGGGAACATAAAAGAACAGTAATGCAATTTAGAATGATCATTTTCTGATTTTCTTTTCTAATGTGTAAGGAATGATATTTATTCGTACCTATCAACATGGATTGTTTCCCTTGATAATGATATAAAAACAAGAACAATGAATAAAATTTATGAGAAAAATACCATGAAATTATTTACATTGGCCAGCTATTGATTTCATACGACGTTCGGTTCCATGTGCATGAGTAGTTAAATCAGAAGGTCTTATGTCTTCATTTGTTCCGTATAGAGCTTCCAATGATGTTATCATACGATTACTATGCTAGAGCAGATTCATAAATATTCTTTACATTAAATAAAATAACACTTTTTATAGATCACAATGTTTAAAAAAGAGTCGCATATATGCGATCCAATCCGAGTTGATTCAAAAGATATATCCTTGACTTCTTTTTCTCCTACATATTTCGCATTTGAGATAACATAATTATTTGATAGTATATTTTCTTGTTTGCCATTCTTTTCTTTTGTGTATCTCTATATCACTACTCTCTTATATGCATTTTATTAATATTATTTTTCAACTGATACAATTGACATATATGATCATTTTAAACATCTTTTCTATTAGATTTTCTTACGTTAATAAGTATTGTACTGGGTTGTTCAGTCATTTGTGTCGTGATTGTTTTTGCTGCTTCTACTATCTTTGTGTTGCCGATCGCTACGTTTTCTTCATTTATTTGACATGATGGTTTCAATGTTCTATCATTTTCATCTCCCAAATCAACAAGACTAGAAATCAAAAAACAAAAACTCCCAATTCATTATTTGGTATAACGAATATAAAACATAGAACTTCGCTATTTATGTTAATTCGTTTCTAATGACATTACATTTAAATAATTTAAAAGACAAAACTTCAATCAGTAACTTTGTTAACTATTTAAGGCTTTGACTAATCAAATCCGTACTAAAATCATTTATAAGAATATCTTTTTTTTAAGGAAAAATCATCGAAAATGAAGAAAATAGGTTTTCAATAATTTATTTCAATATTCATGTTCCGTACTACCGACAAAGATCGTACAACATTTCTTAGAAAAAAAAATCATTTTCAATCTTTAAAAAAAAATGATTCTCAATGGAACATGTAGGGATTTGAAATTACAGTCTATTGACTGCCAACACCACCGACTGAATTTAACTAGTACACATTCGCATCAGTATCAGTAAAGCATTGGAATAGAACGGTACACAAAAGGGCATATTTTTGATAGAGTTGGTATTTCAATATTGCAGCAAATGTCAATGTCCGTGTAATCAATGCTTCACGGGATACTGTATTTTATTCTAGACACATGGGAAACTTTTATATGTATGCTATTTCTTTCTGTCAAAACATGAATGTATGATGTAGTTGCAAACAAGAACAAGAAATCTAATATAAGACAAGAGCTCACCGCATATATTCATCATCCCAACGGCCATAACATAAATCAATTCCACCGACGAAGGCAATTTTTTGATCGATGATAACCATTTTTTCATGATGAGACCACAAATATACTCCATTCTTTTTAAAATGATCAGGATGTCGAATAACCTTAGGTATAGAATCAAGTGAACAATTTACGTTATTTTTAATTAAAATATTAAACTAACTTTTATAAATCCTTTTTTACTTTTAGAAATTAATTTTTTTTCTGTATATAAACTATTCAAAGATACAATACGTTTGATTTCTTTATAAATCATCACATAAACACGAATTCCTGCATCCTACAATATCCAAAGAAAAAAAGAATTTAACTGATATGAATAGTAAAACAAATCAACATTTTACAGCTATTCTTCCTAATATATTATCAAGTCGATATGTTTCATCATCCATTGGTCTTATCATCATGATTTCCGGTGAAAGCCACCAATCAGTAATAAAAACTTCATCTTTAGCTGTTAAAAGTGCTTTAGCAACGGCCTCCATATATGATTTACCATTAATAAACCTATATTAAATATTCTATGTGAGTAGAAGATTATTTTATTATTTTACCAATGAGCTAATTGGTTTTCTCGAATAGGTGCATATGAATTAAATTGATTTACTTTTGAACCGAAAAAACCATTTGCTTGTTCAGTTAAATTTTTTAAATGTTGCAACCATTCCTCACAATCGCGTGCTGTTTCACATTTTACAACTAATGTACGTTGTAAATTTATTATTTTGATACCATGATGAGCTCCAGCATTACGAAGACCGCTTAAAATTTGAAAGTTACGATCAACTAACATTGGAAATCGTATTTCATGTGTATCAGGTTGCATATATACTACATAACTATCTTTAATAATAAACCATCTACATTGAAAAAAACGAAGAACTTCTGATTTAATATATCAGTCATGAGAAAAAAGATGCATACTGTCTACCATGATAATCATCTTTAGATCGATTTAATAGATAGCCCTCTTTTCGACTAAATGATAAGCCGTTGATGAATGATAAACAACTTACATCGAAAAATTTTCGCTAAAAACAATTAAAATAGTATACACATGCATACTTAATATCTAATTAATTTATATGTTAAAATTAGTAACAATATCAATTATGAATTCATACCGTTGCTTGATGTGCACGAAATTTAGGATGTCTAAGAACTTTATTGAGATAATCGGCAAGAATGAGCTAAATAAGAAGAAACAAAGTAATAACATTTAAAAAAAACTTCATTTTATAATTTACACAACGTTTGCCAACAATATTATTATTCATAAAAGCCATTCGATCATTTTTTGTTGGAAAATATGGACATTGATTGCTTTCATCTTGATCTCTTTAATCAAAAATAGATCCAATTCATACTGTTTTAGTTAAACAAATCTAATAATCTCATAATAAATGATAAATTAGTTTAAACATGTGTTCATCGCTCAACCGAATTTAATCAGTTCGTTTCGCAATATCAGACGACAATCGTCATTAGAAAAATGTCAATTATTTTCAGATCTTTTTCAAAGATGTACAAGATAAGTTTCTTTTGTACTCTGAACCTGAATCAGAATTAATCAACATTCGACAGCTACTATCACAGTTATAGTATAGCTTCCAAACTTTTACTTTATATGGCAAGGTATTCTATTTACCTTTTTCCACAAACAACAACAAAAAAGAGATCATCTCAAATTTCAAGAAAGAAAATGTTTGCTTGTTGCTGATGAAGCTGGAATAGAACTACGAATGTAACGCTGCGACTAACAATGAAGTCGGTGAGAATATAAAGAACTTATGGTGAACCCCAATGTATTAGACCCACTGATTTCTCCGCTCTCACAATGGAGGTGTTTACATTGTTAGTTAAAAAGACGAGACATATCTGGGTCAAATTAAAACTTTTCATCGACAAACTACTAAATTTAAAATATAGGCGATCCTTGGCGTGCATGAACCGAGATACTCGAATTTTATGACTTTTAGAAAAAAACGAAAATTTCGTAATTCGGCGTACATCAGTGAGTTGCAATGAAGGATTCAGACTTTGTTGCCCGACAGAGTTACATAGGCTGAACTGCAGCTAATATGCCGCAGCACAGGTCGATATTAGACCTGAAATAGCTAGAAAGTTCTTAAGAATGGCGTTGGCATAGCTTTAAAGTAAAGTAGAGTACGCCGAACTACAAAATTTTCGTTTTTTCCTAAAATTCATAAAATTCGAATATCTTGGTTCATGCCCGCCAAGGGTCGCCTATATTTTAATTTTAGTACTTTGTCAGTGAAACATCTGAATAATGGAGACAGCCGGTTAAATCACCATAGGTTCCCCAAGTGTTCATCTGATTCGGACACCAATGATGCTGTGTCATGTATACCCATCCAACTCGGTAGGGGAGAACATTAACTTACATATCTCTAATTTTTTTTTTATGAAGCAGATACAAGATACTTTTTTTTTCTATTATTTTATTTCATACGTACGGTTCTAAATCACTTGTTGATCTTCTTCTTTGTACAATAGAGAAATGCATCAACGCTTTATGTAAATCATGAAAATCTCGATAACGTTTATAAATAGACCATTGAAAAGCGCCATGTTCAATCTTTATACAATATCTATAAACAAGTAAGTTTATCATTCAGAAAATTTAAAGTATTGTACGATTAAACCTACAAATATGGATTAAGAGATTCTGTAAAACCTGCATGAGTACGTTCAGCCGTAATGGATCTAATGTGAACTCGAACATTAGGAACGAATGCTTGTCCACTACGACGATGTATATGTTCAATAGTAAATGTTTGAGCTAAATAAAAAAAGAACTCAAATTGATCCAAATAAAAATGTCTATACAAACCTCTTTGAATGCATTCATCAACAATTTCATGAAAATTATCATCAGGATATGGTAAATATTCCATATATGTTCGATTTTGATGGCCAACATGAATGGCAAAGTCAGCCACTCCAGTTGTATGACGAACTAGACTACCGACAGCATCTGATTTAGTAAGCCCTGCCATACACTAAAACAATTTTTCCAAGTTAAAAGTACAATTAATCAATAATTTTAATGTATTGAGGTGGTAGTTAACAAAAATAAATGAAAAAAGAAACGAAAAAGAAGAACAGAGTGTGACTTCACCTATTTTACCCTTAATTAATAGAACGACGACGAAAGAGAAAACCGAAGTAATTTACTCATCATAGCAAAACTACTAATGAAAAAGTAAATGCGAGACATTTTGGATCTGTTGTGTCTTTTGTGTATCAAAAGCTTTATTGTGGAATAAACATTAGAAAAAAATAATAATTCATGCAAGGTATTAATTTTTCTGTTTAGTCAATGTATATACCAAAAAATGTTGACTCTGACAGACCTTTGGATAGATTAAATTTACCTAGCCAAAAAAAAACTTATCTACGTATGAAAATGCTAACTCATCGACATGTGACCAATGCATTTAGAAAGAAAACAAGTCACCTTTATAGTTTCATGGAAGAAATTGAATGACAAGCTTGTACTAAAGAGAAACAAGAAAAATTATTGATAGAAATTTTCTATTCACATTTTACATCACAGAGGACACAGTTTTTTTTTCTTTTTTTCCAATTTTATTGATGTTTCGACGACTCATAATATTTCTATGAGATGCCACTTCGATTTTAGTATGACTGTGGCTGTTTCCTATTCGAATTCGTTCCGTCGTAGAAATAACATCTATATTCGTTGTCTATTATGTTCGTTTTGTAAAGGGTGAGCAATATGTTTACCTTTTTCGATCATTGCGGTAACCCTTCGCAAAACGATTGCAGAAAAATAAAAACAACATGGAATAAAACCTTTGAGAACAAAGTTGTAGTAAACTCCCTAAATTATTAACTGATGTTGAATCTTTTTTGCCTTATATTGTTCCATTTTCTCGAACGACGAGTTATAACATCGATATCTTTGAAAAAACCGCAATAGTTTGATTTTTTTAAAATGAAATGTTTCCTATCAACTAACAAGATATGTATATGATGGGCTTTTAGGTAAAACTTAAGACAAACGAAATCTTCTTCTGATGACGTCTGGTTTCGACTAAGCAACAGATTTAGTAGATTTACTCAGGTGTGGGTGTGGGAGTGAGTCTTCTATTGTCTGTTTTACCCACGCCCACCCAGATCCTACACCTCACCCACACTCTTCCCGAGTAGATATATATGGGACAAGACGATCTGTAGAGAAGGTAACAATTTTTTGTTCCCTAAAACAGAAGCTTCTCTGGAGAGAAAGAAAACAAACGATAATTTCTTAGAAAAACTGACACAATTTTAGAATCATTTTTGTAGAAACATTGTATTGTATGCTCTTCTCATATGCACTAATCCATTTCTGCAGTTGTTATTTTTAGTCTGATGATTATTAAGAATCAATTTATTTGATTATTCTTTTTTTTTGCATTTCATTATTCATGCAGTAAATGTAAGAAAAAATGCATATTTTTTAATATTTCACAAAATTTTAAATTCGATTACATGGTTCAGAGACCAAATCTTCATATGGAGGTATTGCACTCAATAATTGCTGTTCAATATTTTTTCCACCGCCAAAGATAAGACGACACGAAGCATTATTACAGAATTGTTGCAATTGTTCAGCTAATTGAGGTGTCCATTGTAGATTAATTAATAATTTCTTAAATTGATCATAATTATCAATTTCTCTAAGATAAAATTTTATCGAAATTATTTATCTATATATATATATACTTATTGATATCAATCCTTCGTAAAACTTACGATGAATTTTTCAAAAAACTTCGCCACGATGACAAATCATTATCTGTTCTACATTGAAAAAGATTGTTTATCCGAGGATAATACATAAATGTAAGAATACACAGTTCGTCTTTGGTTCGTTCACTACCCTAAAAATAAAAGAAAACGATGGAGAATAATAATAGTTGTTATCATCTATATACCAATGTGATTCCGTCTTTGTTTTTTGTACTGTATATACATCGTGTAGCAAATTCATCACCCTAGCAAAACAAAAGATAATTAGAACATATCTCGTTAAAATACTAGATAATTGATGGAATGATATCGATGTAAATGTTGCTTCAACATCCAGCGATTGTTTTTTTTTATTATGTAACAATTATCATAACAAAAACTAGCACTAGTAAAAAAATTCCAAAAATAACTTCCAGTAATTGAACTTTTTGTCTCATATTATCATCTAATTAGGAAATTAATTTGATCTCAATTTTGCAGTATATATTTTGCTCATCTTATTTAAGAAGACAAAATGTTAAGGTCAACTGAAATATATTTAAATATCAAGACCTATGTAGTTGATGCCTCACCCTATTTCATTGAAAATCATAGCTCAGCCATAGTTAACCTACTCATGACTATTCTTTAATGACATAATAATTAACGCTCAGTTAATGATAAGATAATAATTCTTAATTGATGATCTCAGAAGATCAATGTAGTAATTCGGTGTGCATTCGTCATAGCGAAGAATAAAAGTCTATAAAAAGTGGCAAAGTTACTTGTGCATTGTCTTTACCTAATATAGAAAGTTGGAATCGGGTATGATATGGTTATTTTTACCTGTAAAACATTTACTTTTTGTTTTGTATAAATGAAGGGAAAGATAGTTTGAAATTTCGGGTTTATATATTGAGATCACTCGTCCGTACCGTTTGTTTTGCATCGTATACTTTTTTTTAAATTTTTTAAAAATATCTTTGTTTAATATAACCTAACGAGGGGATATTCCTCACTGTGGGTGTGGGTGTAGGCGAAGACAGTATCCATGCTCAAACACCCAACTCATAGTCACACCCACACCCTTCTTGATTTTTTTTTGTTTTCTTATAGACTTGCCTAATTCTTGTGATCTAATTGTAGCCTTTATTATCTATCAACAAGACTATTTGCTTTTGTGCTGCTCGATTTTATGTTTAGATTTTAACAAAAAAAACAGTAAATAAAATAACTGAAAAAAAGATTACATAGAATTTTTTATGTGTTTCCAATAAAAATGCATATAGGTTATTATGATTCTTTTTTCAGAAAATTGTAAATCTCGTTGCTAACAATGATCTCATAGAAGGACTGAGGGAATTGAGTTCCCCCTCACCGAAGATCCTGGCGCTGCCGCTCAGGTTATCAAATATTGTTTTTATCCGACATGTTCCCTTATCTGATATTGAGATGCAAAATTCATACATTGTTTGAGATGAATATCATTTATTCATGAAATTGAACACAATAATAATTACTGTCTATTTCAAAATGGTACGAAGATATAGTAACGAACGTTACGAAAAACTAATCCTTTTTCTTCCATCTTTATTTTTCTTCGTACAGCAAAATATTATTCACAGCCACGACGTGGAAAAAACCAAGTATAAGATGGTGTGTCACGCATAAGTGCGGAGAAGGTAAACGAAGGAACGATTAAAGAAAATGATAAAATGTATCATTCGATTCGTCTACCTATAAACGAAAAAGATTTATCATATAATTGCACGTGATTTGCAGCGATTATTATACGAATATCATTTTATTTGATCAAATAAACAATTCGGTTGCATAGTTACAGAGAAAATATGTCTTCTTTATCATCGACACAACCACCTTATGCAGATCCTATTGTGATTTTATCTCCTCCTGATATTAATCCTCCAGTTAATACGGTTATATATCCAGTTTTGCCTAAAACTCGACTGCATCATGAGTGGCAAAGTTATATAAAACTTCTTTGCGTTTATCTTGCAGGTTATTTAATTCCTGTTCTTATAATATTTGCTACATACCAATTTGCTCTCGCCTGCTATAATTGTCCACTTCCTGATACAGATCTTGGCTGGATACGTGTTTCCTTTTTCCTAAATGGGATATTCATTTTTTGTATATTGATCTACGCCGTCATCAGATTGAACAAAGAAACACAATCATTGGAAGATACGATCCAACAGATATTAATTTTGGCTCTCGTTGCATCAATTCTATCTTGTGACATTCATGCAATTAAAGAAATGAACCAAATTCGTAGCACATTACAGAATGCAAAAGCCGTAGCTTTGTTGCCTTGTCCTGAGAGTCACTATCGACAAGTATTCGGATTTATGATCGCTAACTTTTTGTACCCTTTCTTTCCATTTCTTCTTGTTGGTTGTTGCGTTGTTATGATCGAATCTTTCATATTTATTAAAGAAATGATGGGCAGATGTAATCCATTCATCTAGGGAATTGTGAATCGACAGAAATATTGTAAAGCTATCATCTGCAGAAGACACCTGGAAGAGACTATTGTGGAGCATGCATAATCATCAATCAACAACGATTACCAGGTTGACTGTCATTTCTTTATGAAGAAAACTGCTTGCATTTATATATCTAGTGATCTATTTTAATATTAATCGAGAGAGTATTTTTTTTTTGATTATTTATCGAATTTATAATTATATAAAAAGTTCATCTCAGACGTAAAAATGAACTATTACTTGTTGAATTTATCCAAAAATGCCGATACATATCAGATGCTCTTAGAGAGATTACAGTTGACTTCCTATTTTGTATTAACATTTCTCGAAAAAAATTCATTTTTCTTCATTGCTTATGTTTAGCAGAGTATACAAAGATATTTTTCAAATATTTTGTGGAAGTTTTTTTGCTAAGAAATATGTTCTAGAAAAACAATCCAGGATGAAAAGAGCTGTTGAGTCCAGTCTAGTGGGAGTTTTGCAATATCTATTTCATTTTTCTCGTCAAACTTTTTCTTTAAAGCAAATTAGTTGTTTACAAGTTGTTTAGTATTATTTATTGAGCCGATATCTTTTTAATTTGAAAATACGTTCTCTACTAAAAGTCTATAGCTATTCTCTTAGTTAATATCATTTACAACCAGTGATAAGTTTCGACGAGTAATCGCTATAAGATCAGTATTTTCTAGTGAATTGAATGTCTTTTAGAGAGGAATAATGTTTAGTAAAAAGCAACACTAAAAAGACGATGAGAAAATACAAAGTTTGCAAGTTTAAGAATTTCTCATTTGCCAAGATCATATTTCAGTTTTTTTTTCTCGAAAAGATACAATCTTATTACATTACGTCATTATTTTTAGATTGAAGCATGTACGTGTATATACATCGTACAAAACTAAAAATAGGTTGGTTTATACCGTTTTGAGTGACTCAGTACACCTTTCTTTTATTCACTCTGGATAATCTGTATGTGCACATGTGAAATAACAAGATGGCTAATACATATTTGGATAGTTTACCAGTCGAATTATTTTATCAAATATTTTCTCATCTTTCAGGTTGTCATATATTACGAGCATTTTATTCAATAAATAATTATTTGAATGATATTCTCATTAGTTATAATGACTATATTTTGGATTTATCTTCATCGAACATATCAAAAAATGAAATAGATCTTGTTTGTTCATTTCTACGATCAGAACAAATTGTTGGATTGAAATTTGGTAAAAGTAATTTTGATTTGGTCAATCGATTTCTATCAAGTTTTTCAAATCAACAATCATTCAGTCGTCTTCGTTCACTTTGGATTAATGATACAATCATAATTGATCAATTATTTATGTCAAGATTAGCATCAATAATTAACTATGATGACCTCATTTCACTTCGTTTCGATCGTATTCATCTTGGTGATCTTTATATATTATCAAGTTACTCGTTTGATTCTCTTTCACGTCTTGTTACATCTTCGAGTAACCAGTTTCGTCAATTATCTAAAGAGATACCAACTCATTTGACATATTTGCATATGTATTTTGACTCTATTAATGATATAGATCAATTTATTCTTCCCAATATGCATCAATTGAAATCACTCGGTGTTGGTATTCAGTGCAGTTTAAATGATATCCATCAATTTATGTTCCTTTTCAGAAATTATCAATGGACTCAATTAATTCAATTCAATCTCAATTTCAACGGTAAATAACAAAATAGATACATTATTTGATGCACATTAGATGCGGTTGTGACTCTTTTCTTCAGTCGCAAACACATCTTAAGGAAACTGAATGGTGAAATATATGAAAGTCAATGTGACTTAAAACGCATAATAGTGAATAGGATAAATTTAATTTCGTGTAGACTCTTTTGACTAAGACCAGATCTCATAGAGATAAAGATAGGTGGTTTTTTTTGGTGTATCTTTGACTCATAGAAAGGCATTAAAAGAAACGAAAGTTGCTCTAAAATTTTCCCTACATAGAGATTTATTGTTCATTAGATTTGTCATGAAAATTTCAACGAAAATTAACATCTCTTTGGGAATATTTCGATTTTTTTACATATACTTTATTACCGTATTCCTCTTGCGATAGATGATATTATTTGAAAAATTGATGTATCGAAAAAGATACATTTCTGTGCGCTGAAACTTTCACAGCGATATTCTTTTGGAAAAGTCTGACTTTAAACGGTCATCACTCATCGACTTTGAATATAAATCGTTTTTTTCGAATTTTCTTAGTTTCTATAAAACTTAGTCTTACTGAAAGAAATTGAAAACTGTTAGTCATCAGTATATTCTATCAGGTGATATTGGTCAATGTTTATTGCAACAAAATATATATGAGCTATCATTTACTGAGAATTTGTGAAGTGAAACTGATGAAAAATTCAGTATCGACTCAATATCTTTATCTTACTTCTAAAATCATGTTTCCCTTGAAAAATGCCACATATGAGAGTTATGTTTGGGATCCGGTGTGACCAAGTTTTGTTGTCACAGTCTCTTATTCTAGTTAATCGTTAGTCGCGATCTCTTTTCTTGAACGACAATTATTGTGATAAAAGTTAGATAAAGTAAAAAAACAAATAAAAATGAGGAGACTTAACAATCAAGAAGAAGTATACTAATGCTGTTAGTTGATTTTATTTAGTTCAATAAAATAGTCACATACATATTTATTTTCGTGTATCTATTCATAGCAAAGTATGTAGTTATATTATGATTGTGTCGCAGGAAAAACTGATATTCAGGAAACTTTAAGATCTTCCTGAAAGAAATTAAAATTTCACCTCATTCTTACTCTCATTTCTAATTTGTCTTCGAAAAATTTTCAAAATTTCCAATATTCTAATTTTTTTTGTAATTATTATTTTGATTGAGAAAAACTAATGCAGTTAACAAAACACAGGATATGTAATTGTATTAGTATAAGTAACTATCCGTGATCATAACAACTATGAGTTTAGTTCCTACAGTTCAATGAACTCAATCTCATCAAGAGAATATCAAAATAAAGATATTCAATAAAAGAAGTAGTTTCTTGTGTAGAACTTGTTTGCATTTTCTAAGACAAATCCCATGTATATAGAACATACATAGTTATCAAATGGTGAATTTTAAATGACCACATCGCATTTTATATTGAGATGAAATACATTAATCAAATACTCTCTTTTATATAATTTTCATTATTTTCTTTTTTTCAAAAAACTTCATCTAATATTTTTATTCTTATTTTTTTTTTTAGTTGAAATTAATCTTCAATTTTATATGTTACAAAGAATATTATCGACAATGCATCGACTAAAATATTTGACATTAATATTGTCCAAACCATTGGCAACGGATAATAATATATTGAGTGGAATTCAGTGGAAAATATTTCTAAGAACATCGCTCATTTTCTTGAAAACATTTAATTTTAAATTTTCTATTGAACAAACATTCGAACAAGATATTTATTATCTTTTGAATACATTTAAATCAAGATGGTGGTTGAAAACAAAACGATGGTTTGTCGAATATGATGCTCATGAAAATATTCTCATTACTGTACCTTATTTTGCTTCAAAAACTTTTGATAATCGTCATTCATATTCATTTGATTTAATGCAGAATCCTCAAATATTTTATTCAAATATCAATTATTTAAGTATTGATTTGGATAATTGCAATGAAATAGAACAATTATTGGTGTCTCCACTAGTATCTCAATCACGTTTTAATAATGTGATACAACTCTCATTGAATGGATATTTAACAACAGATGTTTATGATGCAATTCGAAATAATGTTGATCTGAATATGATTCAACATTTTGAGTTTTCATCAACTATTGGCACCACTAAAGCCTTTATTGAATTAATTGAAAATATGACTAATCTTTCTTCTATTCATATTCAGTACTTCCATAGTCTCGATCTATTTAATCTAGTTTCATCACCAAATTTTTCTATTCGACATCTTGTTTTATTCGATTATGAACCAACAACAAGAAAACAACTTTTCTCTCATATATGTCGAATCTTTCCACGATTAACCCATTTGACAACAGACTATCATTCACGACGAAGACTTTGTTATTTATTAAATGAACTTGTTCATCTTGAACAACTCACTTTACGTTTAGCTCAAGATCAATATGCTCCAAATTATTCTTGGATCAAGCAACATAGTCGACTACAAATGAGTTCATTTGAAATGAGAGTATTTAATATTGCTTATAGAGAAAGAAAGCTAGTTTTGTGGATCAATACCAATAATAATATGGAACATCAAGGTCGTCATCAACATCATACATTAAACATATGTTCTATTCAATAATTTATTTCAAATTATTTTCGTATTGATTTTTGATAACAAGAATGGAAAATTAATTCTTGAACTTTGTTTTGAAACGAAAAATAATTAACTTTTTTTTGTTCGACTTTAAAACTTGAAATAAATAATCAAGAAATAGAACTTACTAGTTAACTATCAATCAATTATACTCGACCATATGAATTCGAAGAATAAAATGAGGGTTGATTTGATAATACTTATATAGAAAACAGATTATTATGATTTAGCATCTACTTCAGTTGTATGAATACTATCTTTTTTTGTTATTTTGAATATTTTTACAGGCACATCTTAATTCTGATTGAAAATATTTCATGTTTCGTCATTATGAAAAATAGAAAAACAAACATCATCTTAAATCAATGAAAATAAAACCGATAAGAACATATTATTAGTAGAAAAATATTGGTAATATTCTACATGATAGCAAATGACATATTTCAATCATTGTTTATCACGAAAATATTCTTATGTGTGGTACAAATAAACATCAATATTTATCTATGTAACAGTATAACATATTTGAAACACAAGCAAATAATAAAAAAAAGTTTCTATAATTTTGCATGCTAATGAAGAAAATTCTTTGAATAATGATTTCTACTCAACAAATATAATTGTATAGAAGTAGATTTGAATAGTTTCCATGCTCTAAGTCAATCAATTTAGATTTTTCTAAATGCAAAACAATTATTTAAATATTGAATTCCTAATCTTTATTGCTTGAAAGATGAATTGTGCTATGAATATTTTGTTAATTATGTAATAGTTGTCCTTACAATCGAACATTCAAAACATAATTATTTATTTACAAACATCATAAAACTATTCAAAAAAGAAATTGACTAAAAGTTGGGTGTGGGGTGGGTGGTGTGGGTGTGGGTGGTGTGGGTGTGGGGGGGTGGTGTGGGTGTGGGTGT